CTATTGAGGGACAGAGTATTTGGAGGAAAGAGACATTTTAATGACTATGTAGATTGCAGATCTACTAAAATCGGAGATTATTCATCATCATGTCCCCAGTACTTAGTGTAAGAGTAGATGCTCAATAAATATTTGTTGTATTAGCAAAATATCACAAGTGTTATCCAGAACTGAATATTATTGAGACTTCCTCCACCACAAAATAATAATACATACTTATCTATATATAGTTTTCTTTTATTCTTTTAATTAATTTATTTATTTTTAATTTTTGTGGGTACCTAGTAGATATATGTATTTATGGGGTACATGAGACAAGCATACAGGCATACACATATGTGATGTGTGTAACAGTGACATTAGGGTCAATGGGATATCATCACCTCAAGCATGTATCCTTTTTTGTGTTATAAACAATCCAATTATAATCTTTTAGTTATTTTAAAATGTACAGTAAATTATTGTTAAGTGTAGTCACCCAATTGTGTTATAGAATACTAGACTCTATTCATTTTATATAACTATATTTTTGTACCCATTAACCATCCCTAGTTCCCTACACCCCTTCCCCTTCCCATTACCCTTCCCAGCCTCTGGTAACCATCATTCTACTCTCCATCTCCATGAGTTCAATTGTTTTAAATTTAGCTCCCACAAACAAGTGAGAACATATGAAGTCTGTCTTTTTGCACCTGGCTTATTTTACTTAACATAATGACCTCCAATTCCATCCATGTTGTTCAGGCTCACATTGATTTTATCCATTTGTCTGTTGATGGACACTTTAGGTTGCTTCTGTATCTTGGCTATTGTGATATATACTTTTTCTAGGTAAGAAAATTCCACATCTTTCTTTCAAGTAATTTATATTTATTCCTCAGTGTTCTCCCCAACCCCACCAAGTGTTTTTTAAACACATAAATCCTAGAGCAAGTGGGACTTCATCAATGATTTGGCTGGTTGTTCACTGTACTTGTGCATTTGCTGGCTTCTATCAGGGGAGTAACTCTAAGGAATCCTCTTGGGACTTGACCTGGTTGTGTGAGAGCATCTTTTCCACAGAGTTTCTTTGCTAGCTATATAATGACCACCTGTGAAATATAGCCCCAAGTCTCCACTTCACTGCCGTGCCACTGGTATCACTTCTGTTGTTTTGGTAAATCAACAGGACTCATATGACTGACTGACAGAGTATTGTGAGATTAGACCAATTCTTGTTCCAACCCACCTTCAATGTCAGCTAGTTCAGTAACTAACTAGCAGTCAGGATCCAAGCTCTGGTTGGCTGCCAAACTGTCTGTCTGAACACTGATAAAAATAAGAGCATTTCATTCCAACTTGGCTGCCTTCACGCATTGGATAATTATATTGTCTCATCCATCAGAATTTCTTCTAGGTCAGATTGACATTAAATTGTCTTTTTAATTACTGTGTTTTTTGACAAAATAGCTATTGACTAATCTATAAAATATGATCCAAAAAGGTTAAGAAAACTAGTCAGCATGTATAGGAACAGAATGTGTTACCTTCTCACTAGCTGAGATGGTTACTTGGTTCTGAGCTTCTTGGTTTTCAGATATCCAGTTCCTCCGAGCCATTTCTTCCCATTCTGCTTGCATCTTATCCCAAAACTCTGTATCTGACTGGGAAACAGGAAAAATAAATGGAGATGGATTTAAGAACATGCCACATCATCTGTGTTTTTGGTTTTTTTTTCCCCTAATAGACAAAAGAGGCTTCTGAGGAGGAATAAAATGGCAACATCCAATTGATAGGTGTGGCTGAAGAACTTCTGGAGGGTACTCACGTGTCAGAGTGTTGAAGTGGATTAGCTGTGGTTTTTTCCAGCAGGAAAATAACTACCATCAGAAAGACCAGGATCACATATGCCAAATTCAGCTAAAAACCCACTACTTATATACAGTTTCATGTGTGGGCACTAGGCCACATTTTAGGAAGGGCAGTCTCTCCCAGAATTGCTCCTAGCATATGAGGAATTAGAGCAACTGCTTTGGGACTGGCTGAGCAGTGACTTGGGAAGACAGCCAGGTACGGTCAAGAGAACGAAACATTAGTTGATCCTACTCTGTGTTAAGCACTGTGCCAGCAGAAAACTGAGTCTAGGGGGTTACAGTCCCAAAGCTAGGACTCACAGGATCCAAACCCCATCTGCTTTCCAAGCCCACACTTGTCAACTTATGGCAAATTTGGTCTACTGGTGCTGAAGAATGAGGGACCCTGGTGTGAACCTGACTGAATCCTCTTCAAGGACTTTTATGTGGCAGGATGATTTTTTGAAAAATGCTGCTTTGTGTTTTTGTTTCCTTGTAGTTTTCCCACACATCTTCTGTAAGGGGAATCAGGCTGTTTGCTCTTCTTTACTTCAAGGGAGGTATGTGTTCCTAGACTGAAGAAGATTTTTGCTGAGAGAGCTGTCCCTGATTGACTTCTATTTTATTAAGCCTGAAGACAGTACTTTAGGTGGCCCAAGGGGCAGGAGGAAGGAGCAAGTATCTTAAAGAATTTGAAAGAGACGGAATTTTCTGGGGGTAGGGAAAGAGATGGAGGGTGGCAGGTTCTGATTAGTAGGAGACTAGTGCTCAGTTTTTAGCTATTTCCCAGGGAAATGAGCCTGATATCAGAGAGGATGACTGAGGATGTGACCAAGGGGGCTCATTGGAACCCCTGTTCTCACATGGCCAGGAAATAGAAAGTGAATTTCAAGGAACCACTTTGGGCTTGGATGGCTGTTAGTGGTCACCATGATAGCCAGGGGCAGGGAGGCGGGTGGGGGAGACTCCATCCTTGTTTTCTTTTTTTTTTTTTTTTTGAGACGGAGTCTCACTCTGTTGCTAGGCTGGAGTGCAATGGCGCCATCTTGGCTCACTGCAACCTCCACCTCCCAGGTTCAAGTGAATCTCCTGCCTCAGCCTCCCAAGTAGCTGGGATTACAGGTGCATGTCACCATGCCCAGCTAATTTTTGTATTTTTAGTAGAGACGGGGTTTCACCATGTTAGCCAGGATGGTCTGGATCTCCTGTCCTCATGATCCGCCCACCTTGGCCTCCCAAAGTGCTGGGATTACAGGCGTGAGCCACCGCTCCCGGCCTAACCTTCACCATTTAATACCTCTGGTCTGCCTGGGTGGTGGCTGCCCTGAAGCAAGAACTCTTCTGCAGAGCTGCTTTGAGTGGTAATTATAATCTCATTTCTTTTAGATACAAATGTTCATGGAATAAGAATCAGCTCAATGTGATAATCCCAGGCTATTAAATAAATAGTAGCTCTTGCTCCTGCTTTATCATGTCCAGAATTCTCATTCCTCCCACAGAAACAGGTTCCGCCCCTTTGGCAAAGGCCTCCTCTCAACAAGGCAGCAGGCATCTTGATAATCTATGTCCGTGATGCTGGAAGCACATGGAATGGCTACTAGGAATCCAGGTTCAGCTCAGAAGTAAAATTCAAAATTTCTTTTTTAATTGCTTTTTCTAGTAGAATACTAGTAGAATACCACATTGTGCAAGCAGAATGATCTCAAATGTACAATAACAATGGCTAGAGAAAAGACTAGGAAGAAATATGCCAGCATGTTAATAGAGATGTGTCTTTGAATGAAGAAATAATGAAGGATGTTTTTCCTGCCTCTTCATACATTTCCTACTTTCTGAATTTTCCATGAGGAGCATGCTTTGCTTTTTAAAAAATAAGTTTAAACACAACAAAACAAAAAATATCTCTCCTTTTTAAAATACAATGAAATCTGAATTATTAGACACTAAAACGTTTGGAAGAAATTTGGGGGAATTCATTTTTAAAATAGCTTTTCAAAGATGCAGGTTTAAGCTGTCTGCAGTAGAAGGGAAGACAAATCTATCAAGTGAATTTTATAATGTTTGCTGACTTTCCCAGGCTCGCACTGGGTGACAAGAGAGGCCAACAGACTACACATACTTTCCAAGGCAAATATGTTCATCTAGTGGGAGTCCTTGGAATTTAAAGCATATTACAAGTCTTCTGCATGAAAGAATGAGAAGAATTCAATAATGTGTACATCTGAGTTACCAAAGGGTGCATTACCTTTCTTGCAGCTTGAAATTAGAGCAGTAGATACATAAATAAGGCTGCTGTGGAAAACCGACAGAACCTCAGCTGAGGTAGAGACGCTGGGCTCTCACTTAACGAGATACACCAGAACTCACTGTTACCACTTAAAATGAGTTACTGCTGACTAATTAAAGTGCACAGCACAGTTTTCATTTAATTACAGAAGACTACTTTTAGTATAATCAATTTTCATCCAGTCGCAGAATCCAGACTTCTTTCACGTAGCTACAATTAACGCTGCTTCCTCCCACTATTTTAAATGAATTTTAGAGAAACCTGAAACATATTTGAATTTTAAAGATCTTAAGACATAACTGAAGGGATTTTATTTATTGATGATTTTCTTAGCTCTTCTGGGATTTTGGCAGATTGTTGTTTATACTCTGTGTAACAAGCTATCTGCTTACATCAGAAATGAGCTATTATTTGCCATCCACATCCATGTCTAAGAATAGTTCTCTGATGATAAAATATAGTACATACTCATAAGAACACTGGGATATGCAGCATGGAGGTTAAGAATAGCAGCTTTCCCCTTGGACAGACCTGGGGTCAAATCCTCGTTCCGTCATTGCCCTTTTGTGAATCTCTTAATATTTCCAAGTCTCATTTTCCTTATCTTTAAAATGAAGATATAATAGCAATTTTGGTTAGTTGTTATGACAACTAAATGAGAAAATGCATCTGTGGTATAAAGTACATGGTAGGTGCTCAAAAAAAGTAGGTGTTCTTGCTAGTGTTTTTATAGTATTGAGAAAAATATAGAGAACAAAACAAAAATCACCCACAACTGCAAAACTCAAATATAAAAGCTGTGAACAGTTTGGTGTTTGCTTCTACTGTAAAAACATATTCCTCTTCTAGACATCTTCCTTCTCTTCATTTAAATGTTTCCCTTCCATCTAATTATTAAAAAATAGGATCAAGGTTAAGAAAATGATGGTAAAGCCTCTATAATGGACTTTTAGGCAGCAGTTAAAATGATGTTTATGAATAGTTTATTACAATATTGAATAGTCCTTGGGTTATAATGTTTCTTGCTAAGTAGTATAATCACAATAATAGAAAAACAACCACAATAATGATCTGGGGGAGAAAAGACTGTAGAGAAAGGGACTGTATAACTCTTTTATAGGATGAGGTCATTAGTAATTTATCCCATCACTTTTTCGTGTACTTTTTACCATTTTCCAAATTTTCTATTGTTAGCATAAGTTATTTTGGTGGAAAAGTAAGATTTGGTTAAAAAAAATGCTTACTTCTTTTCAATTTCAGTTCCCCATGATGTTTTCTTCAACATTCCCACACTATAGCAATCTTTTGCCTCTGAATTCCTTCATCATTGATATTCTGTGTTAGTGGTTTGAAAGAAGAAAGATGTGTGCTAGAATTTGAGCGAGTCACTTTAACTCATCTGTAAGTTATTTTTCCTCATTTGTAAAGTGAGAAGATTGGGTTCATTAGATAGCAGCTCAGGCTTCTTTGTCTACATGGATTGACTCAGATCAGAATAAGGCGGAAGGAAGATCTTAGCGCAGAATCACATTTTTTTTTAAAGGGGCCGTCTAGTCTATTTACTAATCTCCAAAAATCATACTTTAAAATGTTTTCCCAGAAGTACATTGGACATTATTTTCCTTCACTTTTTTGATTGTAAAACTGGAAAACAAAAATTTTTTTTTTATAAGAACCAGGGCAATATTAATTAAATATTAATTATATTAACATATAAAGAATAAGAAAAGAAGCAATTTATTTTAGAACAGGAAAGTTTAAAGGATGGTAGCATATTATCAATTCCAATTCACCAGTTTAATTTAGTCATCGAGTTAACACAGAGCTACTTTTGATTTTGTGGTCAAATGTACTTGTCAGTTGGAAAGATCCTGGGGTTGTGCTGTGAAAGAACTAATCAATGTGACATTAAGGGCCAATTCTTCCTGGGAGGAGTCTGGATTTCTTTTTGCCTCTTTAGACTTCCGTTGATTAACTGTCACTGGATCAAAACTTGAGAAAACCAAACCAAACCAAACCAAACCAACCAGCTCTGCATATACAGAAGAAAACAAAGCAGGCCGGGTTCGGTGGCTCATGCCTGTAATCCCAAGACTTTGGGAGACCAAGGTGGGCTGATCACCTGAGGTCGGGAGTTTGAGACCAGCCTGACCAACATGGAGAAACCCTATCTCTACTAAAAATACAAAATTAGCCAGGTGTGGTGTTGCATGCCTGGAATCCCAGCTACTCAGATGGCTGAGGCAGGAGAATCACTTGAACCCGGGAGGTGGAGGTTGCGATGAGCTGAGATCGTGCCATTGCACTCCAGCCTGCGCAATCAGAGTGAAACTCTGTTTAAAAAAGAAAAAAAGAAAGAAAGAAAGTAGTATTTCTTTTACATAACAAGGAAAGAAAACCACTATGCAAGTTTGGATTAACAATTTTCCACAACAAACAATTTTGCTGAAGTGAAATTATGTGCATATCAGCATGGGGCTTCACTGCCCTGGGGTCCAGTAGCCCAGGCTGGCCAATGGTAACT